CTGAAGCAGAGGCTGCTGTGGGGCCAGCAGGTGGCATGGTGGTGAAGGCGCTAGACTCCCACATGGCTGACCACAGTTCGAATCTGGACCCGGCAGCTTGCTTTCTCACTTTCCTTCTCTATTTCTCTGGTCAAATTAAATAATAATAATAATAAGTGAAGTTAAATAAATAATTCTAAAAAGACTATGGTCTCAATGTTCCCAGTCCTGATAAAGGTCAGAGGACCGAACTTCAATTCCATGTATTTCTGGAACTGTGGCAAGAAGTGAGGGCAGCAGTGCCTTCCCCGGAGCTCCCGCAGCTCTTTGTAGGCACCCTCTCCCTGACCCCACTCCAGCCGACCCCACTTCAAGAGCACCTTTGTAACAGCCCACGGCTTGGTGTGTCCCCTCCAGCCCGAGAGCAGGGCCTGGCGAGCGGCTGGTGCTCAACAGCTACTGAGGGAAAGGCTGCACTCCGACCCTGAACAGCGAGAGTACTCCCGTGTACGGCCTGCTGCACGCTGGGTCTCATGCCGCGTGCCCTATGCGCCCTACACGCCCTACGCACCCTAGGCTGTGTGCCTTCCGCCACAGCCCTGTCGGGTCAGGCTCCAGCTCAGAGAGATCCAGTAACTCCCAAGGGTGCAAAGCCCGTCAACAACAGAGTCTGGACCCTGACAGTCCCAACTCTGAAGCCTGGACCTTCTCCCACACTCGCTGCCTCTGTAAGGAGAGCCCTGCGTGTCCAGTGCCCCCCACGGCCCAGCGGCAGGTGAGGGCCCGTTGTCAGAGAACTGCATGAAGGCAGCTCATCCGGCTCTTCTGCTTACTGAGCAAGGGCACAGGTCTTTCCCATCAGGGAAGCCAGGAAAGGAGGTAAAAGAGAAACACAGGGGCCTGGGCCCAGCAGCCTGCCTCCAGCTGTGAAACGCCCACATCTGGAGAGCCCGTGGAAGAGGAGGGAGCATGAGGCTGCCGGCAGAGCTGCCTTCGCTCACCTGCTGCAGGTGATCTTGCTGCTTGACTTGTTCTTGGAGACGGACTTCTGCTCCGGAGACCACAGCCCTGCAGTGCACAGGGGTACACAAGACAGACTGGCTGGGACACTGCGCACCAACACACACAACCCACTGAGCTCTACGGCCCCTTGGCTGGATCTCCCAGGATTTAGGCTGAGAGAAAGAAAGAAGAATCTTGGGCCAGCAGGTGACATAGTGGTCAAAGTGCTGGATTCTCATATGGCTGACCACAGTTCATGGGCCCGGTGGCTTGAAAAGTCACAATAAATAATAAAATGTTTTAAAAAGAAATAAAAAATGCACATACTGTATGATTCCATGTACATACTACTCTTGAATAAGCAAGTGTAGAAATGGAGACTAGATTGGTGGTTGCAGGGTTGGAGCTAACAGGAAGGAGCCAGTGGGAGGTAGAGAGGGTGCACGTGATGGTAGAGGAAGCGGGCTGGTGACCCACACGAGGGGTAAATGACAGAACGATGCACACCCCCTGTGCCAGGCCCAGACTCCTGGTGTGGGTACTGTACAATAGTTACATAAATGTACCATGGGGACACGGATGCAGGGTTCAGAGGCCTCTCGACTATCTTTGAAATCTACTATGACTGTAATTATTTAGAAACAGTGTCTTCTCCTCCCTGGCTGCTTGAGGGCAGACCGCCATCACAATGACACAGGAACCATCCGAACCGGGAAATTCACACCCCCGACTCCTTCAGAGGAAGCACACGGTCATGGATGTCCTTCACCCC